AATGGCCTTCCCATCCTGTTTCAAGATTCAACTCTGAGGCAGGTACTCTGTGCCAAGTACTATGTCTAGTGCTGGATTAACATAGATAGAAGATCAGAGACACTGTACAGAGTCTCCTGGCCTACGATAGGTGCACTGATTTAAGGATGATCTCACAGATGAGTTCTAGGGAGTAGGTTTCAGAGTAGCTGTATCCAGGATAAAGCAGGTGCCATATAGTCTGAGGCAGATGGGAGGCAGATGTGCTCACAGGCATGGAATCCTTCATGTGAGCTCCACACATCTACATCTAAAGTCCCACACCCCTACTTCTGCATTGTGACAACCATTTGTCTTTAACCCTAGTCCAGATACCTGCAACTCTACATCTGGAGTCCCATATTTCTGTATGCAAACCCTGCACCTCTCTCTATATCTGGTATCTAACAATCATTAGTTGGAATCCCACAACCCTAATATGCATCCTAACTCTTCTGCATCTGGAGCTTGCAGCCTTGTATTTAAACCTCACTTCTGCAACAGTTTTATTTGGGGCATATTTTCATTTACTTAAACCTGTCTACTCCTCTGAAGAGTGAGACAACAATGTTTACATGGAGCCTAAATGGTCATTACAAAGACAGAAGAGGAAGAAAAGACCAAAATGGATGTCAGAAGAAACTCTGAAGATTGCACTGGAGTGTAGAGAAGCCAAAGCACAAGGAAGAATTCAAGATACTAAAGAGCTGAACAGAAGATTCCAAAAGGCTGCTCAGAATGACAAAGCAAAATACTACAATGAAATGTGCGAGGAACTAGAGTCAGAAAATCAAAAGGGCCGAACTCGCTCAGCATTTCTTAAGCTCAAGGAACTGAAGAACAGATTCAAACCTAGAGTTGCTGTAATCAAGGATGCTTCGGGCAGAATATTAAATGATCCAGGAAGTATTAAAAGAAGATGGAAGGAATATACTGAGTCATTATATAGAAAGGAATTGGCAGATACATAACTCCTAGGCTTTATTTATTATTTTCTTCTGATTGTTCCTCAAAATAATGACAAGGATTTTGTCCAATATTTTATGAATTCTTTCTTAAATTGATTCAATGCTACTTTTTTTAATCCATGGAGATATATATTAATAATACTTTGTCAGTCATCTGAATTTCTAGCTGCTATTTTTGTATGGTTTCTAATTTTCAATTTTTTCCTATCTCTGATATCATTTCCTACTTTTTCCTAAGGTTTTGTGTGTCTTTTAATTTATGTCTTTGAGGATAATGTAAATACTTTCAGTTCTTTATCAGGGCAGAAATGAATGTCCCTTAGGTTTTCAAATGGGATTTTGGTTGTATAGTCCATAATGAGTTGAGTTGCTAGCCCAAAGAATAAGTCTCAGGCAGTTCAATTCTACCATTAGCTCATCAGGAAAAAAATATGTGTAATCTCTTCTCATGTAATATACAGTCTCAGAAAGTCAATGGAGGGTCAGCTATAAGTCACTTCTGACTTGGTGGCAATGAGAAGGAGAGAGTAGGATTTTCAAGATTGTAAATCTTTACCAAAGCATTTTATTTCCATAGAGCAGGTGCTGAGTTCAGACTATCAAGTTTGATCTCACAACATGAATTCCTTAACTATAGAGATCCTAACCACAGATAAAGGTGTTTAGGACATATTTTTAGGGGACACATTCACACATTCAATCCATAACATTCCATATTCATGATTCACACCCTTCTTACCTTGTTACTTCCTCAACTCCAGATTCTTGCCTCAGGCTCTGCTCCTAGGTGACTTGACCTCAGACAAGCAAGCTCATTTTGTCTTATGACCAGAGTGGAGATGGAGGCTATGTGTGGACCAAAGAGGATACAATCTCAAGCAGACTCAGCTGACCTGGATTGAATCACTTTCTGTAATCTTGGAAGGCCTCTTCTCTTCTAAGGGGAAGTTCCCTCACTTATATATGATACTAGATTGGAGTAGTATAAAACTAGACCAACAAAGAAAAACTTTGCTGTCAACACTGTTGATACCAACAGCCAGAAATTAGAAGACAAATTACTAGGGATGATAGAAGGAGAATGCCTTTGAGCTGTGGTGTTGGAGAAGAGTACTGAATATACCATGGACTGCTAAGAGAACGAGCAGGTTTGTCTTAGGATGTGACTAGGCTGCTTCTTGGAGGCAAGGATTCTGAGGCTCCATCTGACATATTTTGGACATGTTGCACAAAGGGACCAGCCCTTGGAGAGGGATGTCATGCTTGGGAGGGTGGAGGGACAGCGCAGGAGAGGAAGACCCTCGATGAGATGGATTGATTCAGTGACTAGAGTAATAGGGCAGATGTGTCAGAGACAATAAGATTGGCTCAAGATGGAGAGGGTTTAGGGTTGTTGTACATAGGGCCACTTTGAGTTGCAGGTGACATGACAGCACTTAACAACAATAACAACAACAACAACATAACACCTCAGCTAAGTGAGGTGGAGGAATGCAATAAAGAGGGGACAATTCTTTCTATATTGCTAGAAAGGACTAATCCTTGGAGAAGGACATCATGCTTGGAAGGATGGAGGGACAGTGAAAGAGAGGAAGACCTAGGAGGAGATGGATTGACATAGTAATGGGGTAATAGGTGTAGGTGTGTCAGAAACTGTGAGATTGATTGGCTCAGGATAGAGCAGGGTTCAGATCAATTGAACACAGGGTTGCTATGAATTGTAAGCAACTTGAAGGCATATAACAACAACTACAACAATCATTTGTTGAAGGCAGCTGAAATCTGCACAACTCAGTGGCCCCTCCTCTGAAAGAGGTGCTCATAGATCCAAGAGAGTCCATACAAGGAAGCTGACCATTCTGATCTTAGACATAACCTAAGTATCTCAAAGGAGTAGGTGGCTGAGGCTTTCCTGAAGGTCCAGAGCAATGAATGCACAGATGATGGAAAATAGGCTTTCCAGGGCGAGAAAATAGGATGTAGAACATGCAACAATATGATGTGTAGGAGATCTTGAATTCTTTGATTATACTGATCCACTTTCTAAATAAACTAGATGCCTCTGGAAGCTTTACAAACTCTATAAATGTACAGGAATTATGTTAGTTAGAGAAAAGAATTCAGGTCTTTTGTGCAAAGCTTACTCGGAGTCGTATTCAACTTGACTCTTCCACTTTGCACATCTCTTTGTCAATGTGTTGTATGAAGTAACCTGGGTTTGCCTTGTTGCTGAATCTTGTGCCATGGGGATATCAAATACCAGAATGGTTTCCCACTGTGGACAGTTTGGTGGAGCTTCCAGTTGTAAAACAGGTTTGGAAGCAGGAGTGGCATCTGCTTCCTAAACCACATGCCTCTAGAAACTCTATGAACTTGGAGAAACGATGATAGTTATGGAAAGGCATTGGGTCATTTGTTCATAGGGTTGCTATGAGTCATGCTCGACTTGACAACAATCAACAACAACAACAATATACTGATAGGGATAAAGGGATTTTTACTGGCCTAGTATGCAGGTGATTTGAATTTACCACCTACTCCACAGCAAAAAGATGGGCTTCCCATGTGATTAGCTACTGTGAACCCACTGGAGGGTCAACTATGAATTGAAAAAGAAGAGGGAGGAAGCAGGAGGTGAGGTTGAGGGGGTAGCAGGGACTGGATTGAAGACCACTGAAGGGGGAGATTTTAGAGAAGGAGCAATGACATGATCAGATTATAGAAAGATCATTCTGTGCCCTGCAGTGGAGAGGAGAAGAGAGAGGTGCAATAAGAGGTCATAAAGCTGTGGAATATCATATGGAGGCTGAATGAGAGTGGGAATCACTCGGATTATGCACTGTGTTGTGGTGTGGTGTATAACAGCTGTGAGAGGAGGAGTTGAGGGTGATATTTGAGCTGCTGGGTTGGGCAGTTTGGTGGATGGGGGTGCTACTCATGGTGGAAACTATCTTGAATGTATTGAGGTAGTGATGTGATAGTGATAGTGGTAGGTAGGAGTCTGGTCTGGAGGTTAGTGAGTCTGAGCAATTTCTTTTGCCTTGTGAGAGTTGTCGTGCAAGCTGTGTGTGTTGGGCTTTGAGACCTAGGGGCAAATCCTACTTGGTGGGTTGTTTTGGAAACATATAAGCTCTGAATAGTAGGTGGGAAGGTGTTGAGGTTGTTTTGTGAATAGAATGAATGAAATGAGGAATTCCACAGACTTGAGTCATAAGGAACTCTTATGCAGACCCTCACTGTGGCTCTAGCCTGTGCCTTTCATACACACAAGCAGGACTCCCGTGACTCTCAGAAATCCCAGGCTTTTCCCTTCTACCTCAGAAGGGACTTTCCTTCCTGAGACCAGAGTCATGCAGTTTGGAGAGGCCAGAATAGGACCACAGAGGCATTCTGATTGACAAACATTCAACTGAGGATGTTCACTGAGAACTCAGTCATGTTAGACTCAGAGGCTTCTGGGATCTCTCAATATTTTAACTAACTGCTTACAGACCCCAGAGTAACTGGGGCCACCACTCCCTTTGGAAATTCCTACTTCATTTTGGGAAATCCTGTGTACTTGAGAGGAATGCTGTGTGAGTCAGAGATCCTAGACCCAGTTGCCCACTGAGTGGTCCTAACTTCCATTGTTAATCTCCTTGCTTCTCCACCAGCCACTTCCCAATAGTATGCAGTATTCTGGGAAATTAATATTTATTAAGAGTTTTGACACACTCTATCAACATACACAAAATTTCCATTAGTCAACCACCTGCATTCCCATAGGCAATCCTCCCGTGAAGGCTCAAAACCCAAGGGCCCAACTTCCAGGCATTGGACCCTGAGTGAAGTTCCTGGACCCCGTAGTCACCTTCCTCACTTAACTACAGAATAGATGTGACAATGCCTTTGCCTGTTTTCTTTGGTGACCGGGGAGCAGGGGAACCTGGTCATTCTATATTCTGGTCTTGATTCTATATGCACACCCTCCTTTATCGGTTGGATCTATCACAGCCTTAATTAGGACAGAGGTCCTTATTGGTGAATGTCCTCTTGAGAGAGGTCATTGGGTAGATAAATATCAGGTGGTTCACCCTGGCTTCGCCGTTTCCTGCACCTGATATACAGGTTCTCCTTACACCTCTTGACCACCAGGTAGAAGACTTCACATAAGTTAAGCAGGATGCAGATAACAGCTGTGCCCACCATGAAGTAGGTGAAGATTTTCTTCTCTGTGGGTCTGGAGATGAAACAGTTCACGGTGTGGGGACAGGGATTCACAGAGCAGGCCACCATGCGAGGCATGTCAAAATTCTTGTAGAGGCTGTGGAAGATGTAGAGGAAGCTGGTATCAATGATGGCCTTGAAGATAAGACTCAGCAAGTATGTCCACCAGAGGCCACCCCGCTTCTTGCCTGCATTGTCATACAGGGAGGGGGCGTTCGGTCCATGCTTCAGGCGGTGGTGCCGCTCTCGCTCCTCTCGATAGGCCACATGCATGACCACCAGCAGTGAGGGGCAGGTGACCAGGATGAGCTGCAGGGCCCACAGACGCACGTGGGACACGGGGAAGAACTCATCATAACAGACATTGGGACAGCCTGGCTGCCTGGTGTTGCAGACGAAGTTCTTCTTCTCATCACCCCACACATCCTTAGCAGCCACTACGTACACCAGCACTCGGAAGATGAACACCACTGTCAGCCAGATACGGCTCAGTGCCGTGGAGTACTTGTTCACACCACTCAGGAGTCCCTGCAGGTACAACCAATTCATGCTGACAGTGTCCCTGTGTCCTGAGAGGACAGGTCTATGCCCCTCTCCACTCACTCAGACTTGGAGATAACTGTTTGGAAGTGAGCACCCCTTATTGATTGTATAGTTGGCAAAACCCTTCTATAGCCACCGTGTCCTCACTCATGATCACTTGGTGAGGAAGTTGCCATTATTCCCATTTCATGTGGGAGTGAACCAAGGCACCGAGGGAGAAAGGCCCAAAACCCCTGGGCTGGGTGCAGCAGAGCTGGTCTTGAGTGTTGATTTTCTGCTTCCAAAATGGCAGTCTCCTTTTTTCTAGAAATAGAAAAATGTGAATTATAATCATCCTGCAAGGCCATGCCAATCAATCTTTTTCACCTCAAGTTTCAGCCCAATTGCTCATGCATCTTCTAAAGCAATACTAAGAAGTGGAAGATTACATGATCTGCTATGCCACCAGCTGGTCTCCCAGGATGAGCTGGGGCAGGAGAGGAGGGAAACGGGACACTTACCTGCTGTCAGATTAATCTACTTTTTTTCTGAGCACCAAAGGAAGCTCCGGTAACCAAGAGGTAAGGAGCTGTGCTGTCAACCCAAATGCATGAGATTTGAACCCACTAGCGGCTCTGTGGGAGGAAGATGGACATTTTTCTCCTTTGTGATTTACAGTCTCTGCAAACCTGCTGGAGGGCCAGCTCTGAGTCAGTTCAGACTTGACAGCACCTAGCAACAACACAAAATCTGTCAGGCCCCAACTGGACACGTTTGTATCAGCTTATTTGGTAGAGTTTGAAATAACCTCCATCTTCCATTCATCTTTGGGCCAAGGATGTTCTCCATCCTGCACTCCCCTTCCACACCAGACAGGAGACTCTTAGAATCCTGGCAACTGGCCAACTGCTTGACCAGGACCTCTGTTTCCTGTTTCAGTGCTGGGGCCACAGGGCTGACTGGACTCGCCGCAGTGAGCTTCTCTGAAAATCCAACCATTCCAGCTTTAAGAAGGGACTAGAAAATGACTCTGCTACAGCCACCCTTCACCATTTACTTTCTCTCCTGGGGTACCGTCACCCCACCCCCCTTGCTCTGTGGCAGCTTGCTGGCTGATTCTTCCATTATTTCTGTTCAGTCTCACGTGTGCTCCACCTCCACATGTTCCTTCTGGGGTTTGTATCAGGTTCTATCTCTTGCTCTTCCCATGCACCTCTTTGCCTGCGCCCTGGGTTTCTTGAACAGGTTCTGACATTCTCCCCAGAAAACTTTTTCTGTTCAAACTCTAAGTACCCTCCTCTTTCTCCAAGGCAGAACATGTCACCTGAACACAAATAGTCCATTACCTGTCTGCAGACTACATCAAATTCATCTGCTTCCCCAGAATCCTCACTGCCATTACATTTGAATCAACACTTAATGAATTTCCAGCTGGTTTACAGGGGCTGCAAATCACACAGGAGGACAGGGCCTATCATTCTCCAGAGATGCCACTGGTGGATTTGAACCATCAGAGAGGTAGCGTGGGTAGCCATGTAGCTCACTATGGTAGCCCACAGAGCTTTGTGCTGCTAATTCAAAGGTGGCAACTCTCTTAACAGCTGGAATGCTGGAATCTGCCCATTGTTATTTGAGAAAAAGAGGGACAATCTCATCCCCTAAGATTTATAGCCTTCTAAAGCCTTCAGGGTCAGCAATAAGTAGGTTCCAACTGAATGGCAATGCATTGAGTAAAGTCTTAGGGTTCAGTAACCATGTGGTCAGTGCACCCATATAAAATATGTATTAAACTGAACTCTAATCACAGCTCTTCTTCATCCCTCTTCTTCATTGTCTCTTCTTCCTCTGTCCTCCTTTTAGTCTGATATGACTTACCTTCTGTCCCACGAAGGGTCCTCCTAGGGTGTTTTTTTCCAGAGACTCTGACCTGCACCCACTGTGTCCTGCTCCCTGAGATCAGTCTGTCTGTCACTCAAGGCCACCAGGCACGCTGGACTGGGCTGACCTCTTGGTTCCCAGCCCAGTCTCCCTCATGTTCCTGATCCTTACCCTTCTTGGGTCCAGCCACTGCCCATCTGTGCAAAGATTTGCTACAGAGAGCTTTTGTTCTTCACTCTCCTGATGGGTGGGGTTTTGGGAGCCAATGAACCAAGAAAGAGTGTGTGAGTTCAGACTTTCCTGGGCTTAATTTCAGAGGAAATACCTGAGACTTCTCTCTACCGGTCTATGCCTTTCCCTCAAGCAAGTGGGACATAATTCAGCATGGTTCCCATGGGTAGCATGGATGTTGGTATTATGGTATCTTAGTACTGCTATAAAAGAAATATTACATGACTCTGTACTACAGTATAGTACTCAGTACTACCGCTAGAAAAGAAATATTTAAAAAATTGATATAACAAAGAATTTTTCTCAAGTTTAGGAGGTTGGAAGTCTGAATTCAGGGCACTAGGAGAACATTTTTTTTAAAAAATTATTTTAATGAACATTTACAGAGATTTTGGATTTCCACTCATTCATTGTCGCATTTTTCTCCCTGTCCCTCACCACTCAGTTTGTTCTTCTCTTTGAAAAGTAAAAGAAAAAAATCCTTCATTGATATACAATGCCCGCTCCCTTGCCCAGAGTACGTTCCACTATGCAACCTTCATTCTGGACTCTTGTCATAATGATAATACCCAATCACATATCGCTTATTAAACTGTTCTCTCCCCCATTTGTTTCAATGCAGTATACATAAGGAGAACATTTTTATCTCTATCACCTTTTCAGGCTTGGTCTTTTACTCCCTTGATCTCATGTGGCATATATCTACTCCCACATTTTTACTTGCTTCTACGTAAAAAAATAATTAAAAAAAAAATCTCAAATGTGATTGGATTAACATGTACTATATTAGTGTAGGGAACTATGGTGACGTGAGGAGTTGTGCTGTGAACCCAAAGGTGGCACCTCTCTGGTGGCTCGAAGTCGTCATCAGCTCTGAGACATGAAGATGAGCAATCTCCTCCCATGTGATTTACAACCTCTGAAAACTTGCTGAAAGTAAGCTATGAGTAATTTCCGACTGGAAAACAATAGGTGAATTGAGTTGAAAGTCATGTAGAGTTTATCTCATTAAAATAACAAAGAAAACTCTATTCTCAAATGCAATTACACAAGATTTAAATACTTATTTTTGGGGGGATCACTATTAAACTCAACCACACTGAGTGAGACCTCAGTGAAGGGGCAGGGAGTCAAGTGTCCTCATACCCATGCCCAGTCAGCACCAGGAGAACAACTCCTACTTCCTTCCTCCCCAGACCTCTTCCTTCCAACCTTTGCTCTGGAATCTTGGTTCTGACATTTATGGCTACTTGAATTCAGTTCAGGAAGGCATCCACCCTGCTGGAGAGATTGCTGGGGACTGCTGCTTTCTGCTGAGCATGGGCTTCATGTAGATGTACTCCCCAGTGGGGACTGCAGAGGAGCTGGGAGCTTTTCCCACCCTCAGGACAGTGAAGGCGTATGTGCACTTAGGGACAGGCGCCTCTGCCTCTTTTCACACAGGTGTTTATTCAACTGTTCCTAATAAATGATTGACATTTATGTGGCCTTTTCTAAGTGGTTAAACCCTTCCCCAGTTACGAGCTCATTCTGGCCTCACAGCCACTTCATGGGAGAAGTTTATGAACCCAACTTTTTGAGAGAAATAGAAAACACTATCCTGGACTTCAGCCGAACTTAGATGAGAATCGGATGTCTGACTCAGAGACTCTATCCTTTCCCTTGAAGCTTATAACCAGCGGTAGACTAAGTTCCATTTTCTTATACAACTCATAATCATAAGAGAAGTCTAAATAGCACAATGGCTACATATTGGGCTGTTAACCAAAAAGTTTGAAGGACAATGCATAAGAAAGATCACAAAAGAAATGGTGACTTTGAACTGTGGTGTTGGTTAAGAGTGTTGATTAAACCATGAACTGCCAAAAGAACAAATAAAACTGTCTTGAAGGAAGGGCAACAGGAGTGCTTAGAGGCAACGATGGTGAAACTTCATCTCACTTACATTGGGTATATTTTCAGGAGGAACTCATCCTTAGAAACCTCATGCTGGGTAGAGGGTCCTAGCAAGAGAGGATGACCCTCTGAGATGGATTGATATGGTGATTACCAGTCGGCTTGAGCATGACAGATCATGATAATGGGACATGTTAGGGCAAGATGCAGATCTGTTATTCATAGAGCCACTGTGAGTCCTGCTAGACTTGATGGCACCTGACAACAAGAACACCTAATAGGCTGACTGTTTGAAAACACTAGCCAAGGTAGAGTGATGAGGTGGTCTGCACCCGTAGACATTTATAGCCTTGAAAACACTATACTCCCTCTTACAGGTCACTATCAGTTGGAACAACCTTAATAGCAGGGATTCTTTTTTTATTATTTTATTTTATTTTTAAAATTATTTTAATGAACATTTACAGAGAATTTGGATTTCCATTCATTCATTGCTGCACTTCTCTCCCCACCCAGCCCTCTCCCCCCGCCCCCCAGTTCGCTCCTCTCTTTCAAAAGTAAAAGAAAGACTCCCTCCCTGGTACACAATCCCCCCACACCCCTCCCACCGCTCCAAGTACATTCCACTATGCAACCTTAATTGTGGACTCTTGTGATATCCATAATACCCTATCATACATCGCTTTAAAATTATTCAGTCCCTCATCTGTTTCAGTGCAGTATACACAATATCCAGTTTTTTCAGTCTTACCCCCATCCTGATATCAGTCCCATTTTACAGCAGTGGCACCATGCAATATTTGTCCTTTTGTGACTGAGATATTTCACTCAGCATAATGTCCTCCAGGCTCACCCATTTTGAATAATATTGAAAGAGTTCCTTGAAAAGCAGGGATTCTTTATGTGTAAATGGAACCTAAAGAGAAAGTTTAGACTATGAACAAGTATTGTGGGTGCCAAGTGTGCTGCCACTCTCAGCAGCTCTGTGAGGTGGGCATAAGTATGTTTATTTTATAGAAAAA